AAACATACAGATGTTCTGATTCCATCCTAAACAAGGATTTAGGCAAGTGAGGTGGACAAGGGCATGTGAATTTTTAAAGATCTGTTTGTTGTTTGTTTATTTAAGAGAGAGAGAGTACAGGCTGGGGGGAGGAGCAGGGGTGGGTGTAGGGGGAGAAAAATCTAAGGCAGTCTCTTCCCTTAGCGCAGAGCCTGCATCAGGCTCTATATCAAAACCCTGAGATCCTGACCTAAGCCAAAACCAAGAATTGGAGGCTTAACTGACTGAGCCACCCAGGCATCTCGGGGCATATGCATTTTTAAAAAGTATCTTTGGGTAATTTTGATGTTCGTGACTGATTAGTACTATAGTGGGTGATTCATGGGTTTAACTTGTACAGTTGTAATCACCATGTAGTTCGTCATATGAACATGAAAAAATTATCTAAAAGCATTGAATTCATGATGATGGTATTTATATGAATGAAGTTGCAGAAATACTGGTTAATCTCAAACTGATTTTTTTGGTGAGTTCAATTTAGATTGTGGTCAGCAGGTGAACTTGCATGTCTATACTTTATGAAGTGGAAACTAAAAAGGGAGATTGGAAAAATGATTTTTAGTTTTGACTTTTGCTGATATCCTAGCAAAAACTGATCCTAAAAATGAGGAAGAAGAAAAGCGACGAATTGAGGCTCGGCGAGAGAAACAAAGACGCAGAAGAGAAAAAAACAGTGAGAAATATGGAGATGGATACAGGTTTGTGCTTAGTAGAGTCTGAAAATTGGTCTCATTAAAAACAGTTTCCTAGAAAATGCAGATACATCAATTGGAATGTGAAAAAATTCATGAGGGTCAAATGAAAGGTCTGATCAAAGATCTTTGGTATTTCTGTGCAGTCACTCCTTAGAAAATAGAAGAAAAAAAGAGTTCCATTCAGAATGGTAATCAAAAAGTAAAAAATACCAGGAAATATAGTATTCTTAAAAAGAAATACATGTCATAACATGAAGAAAACCACAAAGTCTTGACCTTTGAGTACAGAGAGACATAGTGATATTCTTGGATAAGAAAACAATATTTAGAAATATAATAAGTGTTGTCAATCTCGATTCCAAAGAAGATTCTGTAAAAGAAGAGTATCTAGCTTTTGAGATAATTGAAACATTATAAAGTTGTAATAGTTAAAAATATGTGGTACCAGAAAAATGTTGAGTGTAATAGAATTATTAACTTGTAAATACATGTGTTATAATAAGAATATAATATTTAATAAAGAAGAGGTTGCAAACAAAAGGGGAATTGCTTAAAAATAGGGGGAGAGGGGTTGCTTGAACAACTGAACAATAAGAAGAGAAATAGTTTACATCTTCTTATACCAGTGAAGATGAAATCCAGGTGGATTAAAGAACCTACAAAATGGAGAATAACAGGAAACTAAAATAGCGTATTTATAACTAATCACTATAGAAGTTTTTTTCCTAGGCTTAAAAGTTATAGAATAAATTACAAAGGAAATGATGACCACATTAGTTTAAATAAAAATTTAAAACTTGAAAGCAAACAGACTTGGAGAATATTAACACAAGAAATGATTAATGTGTCTAAGATAAATATCACCCAACCAGTATTTCTTTTCTTTTCTTTTTTTTTTTTGGAGAAAGAGTGGGCAGGGGCAGAGGCAGAGGCAAAGCAAAAGAAAGACTCTTAAGCAGATTCCATGCTCAGCAAGGAGCTGGATGTGGGGCTGGATCTCACAACCCTGAGATCCAGACCTGAGCTGAAATCAGAATAGGATGCTTAACTGACTGAACCACCCAAGCATGCGCAACCATTGCTTTTTTGTCTTTTACATAGGAAAAAAACAAGATGCTCAGTACATGATTGTCTGAAGGAACACCAGCTAGTTAATAATTTTCAGGAAAATGTTGAAACTCACTATAAGATAAACTGAAAATTTAAATAATAGCATGGCATTTTATTAGTGAGGAGAAAGGAAACATTGGTTTACCAACAAGGATACAGTTAAAGTACGCTATTATAATTTGCTGATAACCAAATAGTATGGTTATAATTACTGGGAAGCAATTTAGCAGGTTATTTATTTATTTATTAATTTTGATAGTGGGGGAGAGGGGAGAGGCAGAGGGAGAAGGAGAGAGAATCGTAAGCAGGCTCCACGCCTAGCGTGGAACCCAGTGCCAGGCTCCATCTCACAACCCTGAGATCTGACATGAGCCTAAACAAGAGTCCGAAGCTTAACTAACTGAGCCACCCAGGTGACCCCAATTTAGCAGTTTTTAAAAATGTTTTGGATTTTTTTATAGTTGGTGGTCTCTCCAAGAAAATAATATAAAAGTATAAAAGAGTTTAATCGAAAAAGATGCCCATTACAACATTGTTTATAGTAGCTCCAAACACGAAACAAATACCAGTGATAGCAAGTGGTCAAGTGTATGGAAGTTTTGACACTCCCTTTATGGGCTCTTAGGCCATTGTTGGAAATGAAAGTTACAAAGCCTGCATTAACATAGAGAAAACGCAGGCAAAATAGAAAAAGTGATCTATACAACATGTTAAATATGCATGAAAAAGCCTAAAAGAAAAAATTTTTAAAGGACAGTAATTGATATTTTTTCCATCATCTTTTTCTTAAATTACTGCTTATGCTAGGAAGCTAAAGATTATAAAATGTAAAAAGTAAATTCAGTGTATTTTCTATTCAGAATATAGTTTTGCTCTTTATTTTTTTTTAAGATTTTTATTTGAGATAGCAAGTTAGAGACTCTGTGTGTGCGTGTGTGTGTGTGTGTGTGTGCGCGCGCACGCACACACACATGCGTGCAAGAAGTGGGGAGGGGCAGAGGGAGAAGAAGGCTCTTCATTGAACAAAGAACCCAACAGGGGACTCTATCCCAGGACCCTGGGATCATGACCTGAGCTGAAGACAGTTGCTTAACCAACAGCCACCCAGGCACTCCTAGTTTTGCTCTTTAAAAGTTGATTTGTTTTGTGTAGCATGAGGGGAATGAATTATTACACATAAGTGAATTTTCTAGATGTCTAAAACTTTATGTTAGTTTAGATGATAACCTTTTTTTTCTCAAAATATTTTATTTATTTATTTGACAGAGATCACAAGTAGGCAGAGAGGCAGGCAGAGAGAGAGGGGGAAGCAGGCTCTGAGCAGAGAGCCTGATTAGGGGCTCGATCCCAGGACCCTGATATCATGACCTGAGCCAAAGGCAGAGGCTTAACCCACTGAGCTACCCAGGTGCCCCAAGAAGATAACATTTTTAAGAGCAGCATCTGAAGACCTTTCTATGGAAATATTTTTTAAATTATCTGTTTTCTTCCATATTAAATAGGATATTTTTTGTTACTACTTGGTTTTAATATATATGTTGATTTTATTTATGTAAAATGCAGTAAAAGAAAATTCACTGACATCTGGATTCCCAGATTTTTTTGTTTGCTTAGACCGTCTTTGATTTTATTGAGCTCGGCATTACAGTTGGCCCATAAACAGCATGGGGGTTGGGGCACTAACCTCCATCCAGTCACATATCCATGTGTAACTTTGGACTCCTGCAAAACTGCCAATAGCCACCTGTTTCCTAGAAGTCTTGCTGATAACATAAACAGTTGATTTAACACATATTTTGTATGTTACAGGTATTATATACTCTATTACAATAAAGTAAGCTAGAGAAAAGAAAAGATTAAGAAAATCCTAAGGAGGAGAAAATACATTTACAGAACTGTGCTGTAGAAAATCTGCATACGAGGAACCTGTGCATTTCAAACCGATGTTGTTCAAGGGTCAACTGTGCTTGTATAATCTTTGTGTCTAGCTTCAATAACCTTGTCCTATGTTCTTTCTGATTTGTTACTCATAATTTGTAAACAGTAGGATTAAGCTTATTAAGGATTAACTCATGAAAAGAAGTTCTAGCTTTTAAAAGGCAGCTAGTTTTGGTCCTTACGAGTATCTCTGCCACTGTGGATAGAATTCCTTCTTTTGATAGGGGTGGAAACAAATTGGAATGAATTCTGTTTCAGGTGTGTAGGAATCTGGAGGTGTTTTACATTATAAGAATAATTTTTCTATTTACCCTATGAATACTTCCCCCTTTAAAAATTGTAGCTTTGGATAGGATATATCTATGTTAATAAATGTGTGATTTGGAGAAAATGGAAGAACTGAACTTTGATTTAGCTGTTTTCTCCACAACCTAAATATGAATCTGAGGATATAAGCCAAAAAATGTCAGTTCAATTAAATTGTCATTTTAGGATAAGAATCATTAAAAATAGTTAAAAATTACTTTAGTTCATCAGAACAGTTTTATTTTGAGTTAGGAGGATAAGAGATTGACAGTGAATAACTATTCTTACGATAGTTCTTTTTGGATATTTGAATGCTTTCAATAAAATAAAGAAGAAGGGAGCCTGGGGGGAAGAGGACAAGGGTGTGAGAGGTACAGAAAAACCATAATATATGGGAAAGAGTGCCAGAAGAGAAGTACAAAGTGTCTTACAGGAGATAACTTCTCAGTAGGAGTGCAGGAAAATCAGGGAGATGGTTGGAGGTGGTATTTCAACTGACTGAGGGAGGGTAGGATTGCAATAGGAGCTGTTAGGCAGGCCAGACAGAGGGCATGGTTCGAGGACAAAGAAAGAAACAGGAATGTTTCATTGATATTCAGGAAATAGAAAGCTGTGTAGATTGAAAATGAATCTAGTGGGGGTTGAAAAGTGTAATTTAAACAATGAAGACATACCATGTGCCAGATACTTTTAAAAGTATTTAGTGGGTAAAGCCAAAAAATACAGGAGAGATTAAAAACTTTCTTAAATGGCAGCTGAAAGTGTTTTGACTTTGTTTTTTGAGGCTTAAGTCCATGAAGCTGGTAAGTCTTTGAGCAGTGAAATGCTGTTGCCTCCTTTAGGAAGTGACAGTTATTAATTGAATTATTACTGTGTGCCAGGAACTGTCCTAAGGGTTTTCTATATGTTATTTTTTTTTAATCCTCACAGTACTTCTCTAAGTGTTCTTATCTCATTAAGATCAGAAAACTAAGGCCCAGAGAAGTTAAGTAATTTGCCCAACATCACATAAGAGGGCTAGGATATAAACCCAGCAGTAGGATACAGATCCCATAATTTTAACCAGGAAAATAAATATAATAGCAGTATAAAGAATTAATTGGAAAATGGAGACTGGAGACAAAGAAACCAGTTAAGAAACTTGTCATAATTCAAGGAAGAGGAAATAATAAGAATATATAAGACGGGAACACTTTATGGGAGGAAAAGGGGAAGTTCATATTGAAGTGACTGCTAAGCTTCTAAATTTGTCTGGTCCGGGCTTATCAGTCATCCTGAAGTAGTCCCTAAAGGGCAGGCTTTTGCTCATCGAAGAGCTCCAGGGGAGTGAATTAGGGTTGTCTGGTATTCCACCTGGCTTTGTTGATACTACATTGGTGGGTTGCGAGCCTAAGAGTGGAACAGAAAATAAAATAAGTAATGAAACTTTGGAACTTGATATTTTTTGAAGTTTGCTTTGGCTTTCTAACTAGTCTAGACTTGACGTGGATAGCTTAGGACCAGATTAAGTAGATCCACTGATTTCCATCGTTTGTACCAAGGAGTTCCAGGGTGGGCCAGAAATGTAAAGTGGTATAATAACAGTGTTGTCCAAATAGGTATTTAAAGAAATACTGATTTTCCTGACTTCAGCTAAATTTAGATCAACCATAAAATGGAATAAAGGAAATCATTTATGCTGGTAAAATTAGTTTTATTAGTATGGTCTTATGAACTCTAAGTAAATAAGGTAATATTTAAAGAAAACTTTTTTTTTCTTTATAGAATGGCATTCACGTGTTCCTTTTGTAAATTCCGAACGTTTGAAGAAAAAGATATTGAACTACATCTGGAAAGTTCTTCACACCAGGAAACACTAGATCATATTCAGAAACAAACCAAATTTGATAAAGTAGTTATGGAGTTTTTGCATGTAAGTAGCTATTTTTATTTTTTATTTTTATTTTTTTTAAAGATTTTATTTATTTATTTGGCAGAGACAGAGATCACAAGTAGGCAGAGAAGCAGGCAGAGAGAGAGAAGGGGGGAAGCAGGCCCCCACTGAGCAGAGAGCCCGATGCGGGGCTCGATCCCAGGACCCTGAGATCATGACCTGAGCCGAAGGCAGAGGCCTAACCCCTGAGCCACCCAGGTGCCCCTAAGTAGCTATTTTTAAAATGAGAAGCACTTTATCTGATACTTTAATTTTTTACTTTTTCAGTTTCCCATCTCTCGTTTTGTTTCTAAAAATTTAGAAAATTTAGTGTATTGTTTACTTAAAGAGTTCTTAAAAAAAAAAAAAAAGCCCAGAATTAAACTTGAATTCCTCTGTAAGAGATTTTAGATTTGTAATTTGAGAGAACATTTTATGTTTTTCACATTAGTTTCTAGCAGAGGTGTCAGGAAAAGAATTCCTTTAACAACTGTTTGTTGATGCAGAATCAGTTATCATTTCACTGAGAGTCTACTCTGCACCTTGTACCTTGCACCTTGTACTTTCATTCATTGTGTCATTTGAGCCTCATCACAACTCCTTTTCAACATGAAAGATCCCACTCAGAGCAGTGTAATAACTCTATCAGTTAGTTGGCAGTCTGAATTCAGAGCCAGAGAGTGGGTGTCTGTTTGGTGTCCTTTATATTATTGGTGTGTGGTTACCAGTTCAATAGTTTTTCTTGAATACTTAACAAAAGGTGCTGTGCAGGGACCAAAGACACAGATACCACCCTCTGTGAACTAACAGTAGTTGGAAAGAGAATGTGCTTGTATATCCACAGATGGCACAGTTAAGTTGAAGGGCTGGGAGTGAGAGTGTAGGCAGAGGGTTTTGGAGAAGGGGAAGATCGTTGGGGCCAGGGATGCTTAAGGAAGGGACTAGAGCTGGACTGCTAATTGTACATACAGTTAATTTGGACAAAAGCATGAAATTGTTGTGGGGTTAGAAATAAAATGATCATGCATTCCTCCATATCCTTTCAGAATTGTGTACCTTTAGAAACATTTCTTTCTGTAATTTCATTCCTTAACTGGTTCCTAGTTATCATTTAGGACTTAAGTACTCACCTGCCTTGAGAAGACCTCTTAACTCTTCTAGCTGTCTTTGATTTCTCTTGTTCTTTATGCCTAAAATATTTTTTTTCTTTTCAAATTTTTATTTAAGTTCTAGTTAGTTAACATACAGTGCAATATTGGTTTTAGGAGTAGAATTCAGTGATTCATCACTTATATACAACACTTAGTACTCATCATAACAAGTGCCCTCCTTAATATGCGTCACCCATCTAGCCCATCCCCCACCCACCTCCTTCCATCAACCATCAGGTTGTTCTCTGTCATTGAGTTTCTTGGTTTGTTTCCCACTCCACCCCCCCTTCTTGTTCTATATTCATCTGTTTTGTTTCTAAATTTAATTTAATTCCACATATGAGTGAAAGAAATCCCATGGTATTTGTCTTTTCTGACTGACTTATTTCGCTTAGCATAATACACTCTAGCTCCATCTGCATCATGGCACATGGCATATGGCATAATTTCATTCTTTTTGATGGCTGAGTAATATTCCACTATATATCTTTATCTATCTCTCTCTATATATATGTACACACACACACACACACACACACATACACACACACACACACACACACACACACACACACCATCATCTGTATCCATTCATCAATCAGTGGACATTTGGGCTCTTTCCATAGTTTGGCCATTGTTGATAGAAAATACATTTTGAAAGCAAATATTTTTTATAAGTGTCTTAGTACTTTCTTTGTATTTTATGATAGTCTTTTCAACTGAATTGTAAGCTCCTTGAAAACAGATACTAGTTCGGGGCGCCTGGGTGGCTCAGTGGGTTAAGCCGCTGCCTTCGGCTCAGGTCATGATCTCAGGGTCCTGGGATCGAGTTCCGCATCGGGCTCTCTGCTCAGCAGGGAGCCTGCTTCCTTCTCTCTCTCTCTCTGCCTGCCTCTCTGTCTACTTGTGATCTCTGTCAAATAAATAAAATCTTTAAAAAAAAAAACCAGATACTAGTTCTTATGTAACTGATATTATCTTCCATAGGCTGAGTTAGTTTGATGCTAAGCATATTCTAAGTGCTCACTGAAAACTTTCTGGGTTTCTTCCTATTTTGCTCTATAGGAATGTATGGTGAATAAATTCAAGAAAACATCTATTCGTAAGCAACAGACAAATAATCAAACAGAAGTAGTTAAAATAATTGAAAAAGATGTTATGGAAGGTAAGTATTTAAACAAATTATTTTAGAAATTTACATGTGTTTTTTTATATACCATACCCTATTTCAGTATAAATGATGCTTACTAGAGTGATCAAGTACATAGTCAAATGTGGTAGCCATGAGTAGGTTATTAGAGATGAATTCCTTTGACTTCCTCTTCTCATGCTTACAAGTTTATCATGATCTACTGTTACGTCTTTCACTTCAGTTACAAGAAAAATCAGCTTTTCCTCTAGATGGAAGTGAATTCTTCCATATATCTTCTGTCTTATTCCTTCTCATCTCTTTAAGGACATCTGCTCAAATAGTGAACTCAATTTTTTAGTCTTTCTTTTTCTGTTTCTGAAGCCTATGCTTTCATCTTTAAAAAAGAAAAAAAGTCTTCAAAGAAACAAAGGAAAAGAAAAGAAAAACAGACAATATTTCCCCTAAAACTTGCTTTTCCCCTTGAACAACCATGCTTCTTTAAGCATAGTCCACACGGATGTGTTTATTCACTGCCCATTACTACTTTCCCACAGTAGACCACTTTCTGTTACCAGTGGTCTCCTGAAACTGCTCTCATAGAGATTTCTGACATCAGCTTCAGTAGATTCTTCTGAATTATTATCTTACTTCTATAGCATTTTTACTGATGTTTGTTCATCTGCCCCCTCCCCTGGATTCTGTGGTATATCACTGTCCTGATATTCTTTATTCCCTTGCTGTTGTTTACCTGTACTTCTCTTTCTCTGTGAGGCTTTTAGAAGTTGGCATTTCCCGCTGCTCTTCCTTTGTTCCATTATCTTCTTTTTTTGTATTCCTTCCTCATGATTCATCTATTTGCAGAGCTTAAATTAACCCATCTCTGTTGATTACTGGTACATTATATGCCTAGCACAGGTTTCTCTCTGAACCCGAGTATCGGACATCCAGCTGCCTACTGACTTTTCTCTTTAGCGGTCTCACAAAATCTGTGTATCAAAAAATTTGTGTACTCTTTGAGCATCCTCCACCCCATAAAGAAAACAAAACAAAAACCCTGTTGACCTGTCTTTTATTTATCTTGGAAGTTGGCCTCATCATCAGAGCCAGAAGCGTGTAGTCCTATGTAATTTTACTTTACTGTATCTGTAACATTGTATCTTATCACTTCTGTCCTTTTTTTTTTTTTTTTAAGATTTTATTTATTTATTTGACAGACAGAGATCACCAGTAGGCAGAGAGTCAGGCAGAGAGAGAAAGGGGGAAGCAGGCTCCCCACTGAGCAGAGAGCCCGATGCAGGGCTCGATTCCATAACCCTGAGATCATGACCTGAGATGAAGTCAGAGGCTTGAACCGACTGAGCCACCCAGGCTCACCTTATCACTTCTGTCTTTTAAATATCTTCCAGGTCTCTTCTTTACCTCTTTAAATATTACATTTGTTCAAATCTCCATCTGTTCTCTTGGCAATTATTATTTTCTTTCTTATCTCTAATTCTGCATGACTTCTATTACTTCAAGAATTTTAGCTGGTTCCCCATCCTCTACAGGATAAATTTCAAATTCCTATGTCTGGCATGCAAAGATCTCCAGGGTGTTTTGTCTTTTCTTTATTCTCTGCCCCAGCCATACTGAATTACTTGGAATTCCTATAAAGTGCCATATTCTCTCACACCTTTCCCTTCCATATATTTATACCTTTATCTCTAATAAATTTGTTTCTTGTGAATCCAGTCTTGACATTTTTTTTTTTTCCTATCCCTGTCCACCCACATTTATTACGGTAATTTTTTTCTTAGTACAAAATCAACATGTCTCTTATATAATATATTTTGGAGATGGACTTCTAAGCCTCAGAACATGATTATATAACATGATTAGGAAATACAATGTTATTATTTATAATTATATTTATAATTTATTTATTATCCAGATTTTTAATCTGTATATGCAGATTTGTGAGGTGTGGTAGAAAACTTAACATAATCTACATACTTTGATTCTTTTTTGGGAAGAAGGGGTTATAAATAACCGTGGAAACAATAAAAACTTGTTTTGTTGGAAATAAGAATATGTAAATCATTACTTTTCTTATTTATAACTGGCTTTCTTTTGTAGGTGTTACTGCAGATGATCACATGATGAAAGTAGAGACTGTTCACTGCAGTGCATGCAGTGTGTATATCCCTGCTTTACACAGCTCAGTGCAGCAGCACTTAAAATCTCCTGATCATATCAAAGGGAAGCAGGTATCTATCTTAATGAAGTCATTGAATTATTTGTTAATCCTTTATTATCCTTTAAAGGCCATTGTTTCATACCTACCTGCTTGCATATAGCCCTATTATTCTACTGTGTAAAAAAAAACTATGAAGATAACCTAAAGGGTCTGTGTAGCATAGTAGTTAAGCCTGGTGGTGGTTAAGATTGAGCTCTGGAGCAAGAATTCCTGGGTTTGAATTCTGGTTCAGTATATAATATGTGGTAAGCAAGTAAATTAACTTTTCTTTGCCTAAGCTGCTTTATCTGTAAAATGGGGATGGATAATCATTCTATTCTTACATAACTGTTTAAAGATTAAGTTGGTTAAAGTATAAAAAACACTTAAAATGGTGCCTGACTGATATCAGCATTACGTAGTATAAGCTTACATAGTGTAAACCTTCAGGAAATCATAGCTGTTGAATTGTTCTTTTCATGAACACTTTTTTTAAAGTTGGTACAAAACAGTTTTATGAGGACAGAGAGAGGGAGAGAGCGTGTGTGTGTGTGTGTGTTTTAGATCAAAAAAGAAAGGAAGGATTTGATTATAACATATGTTTTTCTGATTGTTGGGAAAAATAAACTAGTATCAGCTGTTATCTGTTGTTACATTTCTGAGTAAATTTACTCAAATTCTAGGAAAAATGTACTGTTTTCTTTTTGATTGGCATGTTTCTGCTTTTATATTGGTTGATTTTATTTAGTCCAGTTTATTTCAAATAGTGTTTATAGTATGCGAAACTAGCTTGTTTGAGAACCAAATTTAAAAATTCAAATATTAAAGACTTAAGTCTTATTTATTTTTTAAGATTTATTTATTTATTTTAGAGAAAGAGCGAGTGTGCGCCTGTGCGCGCCCACGTACAAGCAAGCAGTGGGGAGGAGCAGGGAAAGAGAGTCCTGAAGCAGACACTCTGCTGAGTGTGGAGCCCAACCCCGGGCTCAATCCCAGGACTCCGAGATCATGACCTCAGCCAAAATCAGGAGTTGGCCACTAAACAGACTGAGCCATCCAGGCGCCCTTAAAGACTTAAGTTTTAAATAGAACGTACCTGAGTCTTAAATTCATATTTTGTATTGATGTGATCCTCATTTAACTCAGACTTCATCAGCCACTTTGAGCACATAAAATCTTTTAAAAATCTTTGTACTTTTCTCTTCTCTTTTGTATTCCCTTGACACCTTTTTGGCAACTAGACAATCCATATTATTACCTTTCCTCCTTTATATAATATAGTCTTATGCTAACTACAGTCCAGAAGAAGACTAATTACTCTAGCAGTATGAAAAATTATTCTTTTTTAATGGCATGAAAATTAGTAGTTGGCAGAATTGGGGCGGGGGGATGTACATGTGGAGTAGGAAGGAGAGAAAGCAGCTATTTAGTAGATTTGGATGTATCATATTTAGTGACTGGGTGTTTTTTAATGAGTCTCATTGGCTTATTGAATCTTCATTGTTTTAATCCATGGATGATTTAGATTGTATCCCAGTAGCTGCTGTTGCTTTATAGCTTAATTTGCCAGGAAGTAAATCATTTAAATCTAAGAATTTGAGCATACAATGTTGTTTTAATTATAGAAATATTTTTATGGTATGGTTTTCAAGTACCTCAGTGTGTTCTATTTCTCACAGGCTTATAAGGAGCAAATAAAAAGAGAAAGTGTCTTGACTGCTACAAGCATTTTAAATAATCCAATAGTGAAGGCGCGATATGAACGTTTTGTTAAGGTAAGATTTTAGGGCAAAACCTTTTTAGGTTATATCATAGTATCTTTATTATTAAATAGTGACATAGTAACTATGATGTCTATATATAGTGCAACATTAGGAAGAATTTTACTTAGTATCTTGCTTATAAGTAAGACATCTTTTTTCCTAATTGTTGGGATTTGTTGGGTGAGGGAACAATAAGCCATTCCTCTCTTATCCTTTTCTCACTCTGGATCATTTGAGAGAAACGCAGGAGTCTGATTGAAGATCAGAATGTCCGCTTTATTCTTGATTTTTATTTATTTATTATTTTATTTTATTAATTTTTTTTTTTTTTTTTTTTTGAGGTAGAGAGCGAGAGAGAGAGATCACCCGTGGGGGGCAGATAGAGAGGGAGAAGCAGACTCCTCACTGAGCAGGGAGCCTGACAAGGGCCCCAATCTCAGGACCTCAGGTTCATGACCTGAGCAGAAGGAAGATGCTTAACTGACTGAGCCACCCAGTTGCCCCTATTCTTGATTTTTAAAGAAAGGATGACTTGGGGGATATGACAAGTGTATAGTTACTGTGGACCTTTGTATTTCCCTTTTTTTTTTTTTAAGTTTTGCATTAATCCCAGTTAGTTTACATACAGTGTTATATTAGTTTCAAGTGCACAATACAGTGATTCAGCACTTCTGTACAATACCCAGTGCTCATCACAACAAGTGGCCTCCTTCATCCCCATCACCTATTTCCCCCATCGCCCCTGCCTACCACCACTCCGGTAACCATCAGTTTGTTCTCTGTAGTTAAAAGTCTCTTCTTTTTTTAAAATTTTAATTATAATTTTTTAAAAATTTATTTATTAACATATAATGCACTGTTTGCTTCAGGGATACAGATCTGTGATTCATCATTCTTACATAGTTCTGTGTACAGATCTATGATTCATCATTCTTACACAGTTCACAGCACTCACCATAGTTGTATTTCACTTCTAAGTTAGATAAACTTACCTCTCCTTGACCTCTGTTACTGGTTCAGCTAGACAGCAATAAGCTTACCCTAGTTTACCACATGACCTACAATAGACTAGAATGTACCTTTTCTGTTGCTGGGAGGACCCAAAAGAGGAGACCCAGAAAGGAATAATTTGTACATGCCCAGTTTCTTCTTCCAAGCATACTAATTGGATAAGTTGTTGTTCTTGCTTGGATGGGAAAGTGGGAGGTCAGATATGCTGCTTCAGAAAAAGCTCTCTCGTGGAATCAGGAGGCCAGGAGAAGAGCTTTGCCCTGAATGTTAGTAAATGCAGATGTGAACAATTAGGTACACCTGGCACACTGCTAGCCATATAATATTGTGGTAGTCTTTACATAAAATTCTTTACATATTATATATACTTAACTGTGCAAATAAGAATTTACTGTTATTCAAGAAATTAACAGAAATATATTTTAGAGGTTAGCTTTTGAGTCTTTGTAAAATAATGCCTCATTTAAAATCATCCTACACTGAAGAAAGCTATTATGTTGAAAATTTGTAAGTCTGTTATTTACATTTGTAACTAAATCTTGATTTTATGGATTAGAGAAGTATTATTTATTTTGGCTATTGTAGTGATTAACAGGTACTCTGTGAAGAAGCCTGATCTATCTATCTGTCTGTCTATATTTATCTCTATATATTTTTTTAATGACCATTAACTTATACCTCAACCAAGTGATTTACAAGCTGGATAAATCTCAGTTTTTTCAGCTTGTTCCCGAGGGTCCCATTTTCTGATTTGTCATATTTGTCACTTTTACTACATTCTTGGCACCATTTTTAAAAGGTGAATGCAGAAATTGTAACAGAGTAATGCAGTCCAACAGCAACAACAAAAAAATAGTGACTGCAGGCCTAATTGAAATTCAGTTTTTTGGGAGATATGGCATCAAAAAGGTAAGCATCATTGCTAAATGAGGAAAAATTTTTATCCTTGCTATATCACAAACTTTTGAGAAGTTAATAATGGTTTCTATTAATGTATGAAAGTAATATTTAATGAAAGAAGAATACAAATGTGAGTTGCTATGTAGACTTCTCAAGATTCACTTGAGAGTCACTTCATTGAATGAGAGACATCACTGGTGGGGAGTGTCTTGCTGATGTGCATATTGTGGAGAAAATACCTGAACTGAGGAGATCTCTTCTAGAATTTTTTTACTATGAATGGGATCCATGGACCAGCAATATTGGCATCTCCTGGGAGTTCATTAGAAATGCAGTTTCATTTGAACAAGATCCCATTTGATTTATAGACATGTTAAAATTCAAGAAGCACCGGTGTCACATTATTCAGTGATATCCCTTTGTTCAGCTTTCCTAATCTCCTCTGTTCCCTGCTGTTACTCCCCAGAACATCCTCTGCCCATGGTCAGCTCTGGTCATCACTTAAAATTCTTTCACCTTTAAGTGCTCAGTCTGACAAAATTATCTTTTTTAATCTTTGCCCCATGAAAATAATCAGTTCATCAATTTCCTCTATTTCTCCAACTGTATCACCTTGTTTTACCTTCACACCCTGGCCTTGATACTCATGGTCAGTCCTTGTAACAGTGCAGTACTGCCATTCTAAAATTCCTCACTTACTTGTTCTACCACTTAACAGTTCCCAGCACTATGCCATCTAGGGTTAGCTTTTTTATTTTTTTTTAAAGATTTTATTTACTTGAGAGAGAGCGCACAAGTGTGTTGGGGGTAGAGGCAGAAGGAGAAGTAGACTCCCCACTGAGCAGGGAGCCTGGTGCAGGGGCTCAGTTCAGGATCTGGAGATCGTAACCTGATCCCAAGGCAGACACTTAAACCGACTGAGCCACCCAGGCACCTTTATGGTTAGCTTTTTAACTGTCTTGCTACAAATGTAATGGTACCGGTACCATTGTACCGGTACAAATTGTACCGGTACTGTATTTGCTAGATTTTCACTGCAGTTCACGGTAATTTTGCCTATTACCAATCAATGTAATGTACTTCCTACAGTGGATATTTTAAAGCTTTTCCACTCTTAACATATCTAGATTTCATTCTTACGCCCTTTACTTCCTATGTTCTTATCACTTCTCTTGCTTTAGGGAGATTGAGACCACTAGATGTGAACTGTAAGTTTTCTCCTTCCTGCGTTAGATTTATGTAACTTACTCTCACTTTTATTGTTATCTGTGAAGAAAGATACCCACTTTTCGCCTTTCACCTGTATTATTGTTTCATCAGTTTTCTCACTCCTTACTTGTATCTTACTTGTGCCCTGTTTATTATTTTATTCTTCTACAAACAGATATGCTTACAAGTTCCCTAAACTAAAAATGACTTGACTTTTCCTACTCTTCCCCCTTCCCATCTTATCTTTTCTCTTATCACCATACTTAGAAGGGCACTAAGTTGTGCCTTGCGTTGTACTCTTTGCCTCTACTCTTTAAACTGATGGTTCTCAATTGGAGATATGTAATTAGAATTCCTTGTGAGGCTGAAATCAAACAAAAAGCTGCCTTGGCCTTCTTTAAAACCTTCTGAATTAGAGTTTCCCAACCTTCTCTGATTAATACCTCGTGAAATGCTTCTTAAGTATGCAGGTTACCAGATCTCACCCCTGGAAAATTTTCATTCAAGAGGTCTGAAATTGATTTGGGAACTTCTGTTTTTAGCAAGAGGTCTAGTACTTGACTACGTTAAAGTCTCAGTGTGTGGAACTCAGGTCTGTGGATTTTGAAAGCTTAGAGGAAATTCTGATTCATTCTTGGGCAGTCATTGCTGTCCAGCTTCCACTTACATCATACTTTTGGAACTGCTCCAAGATAACTGGTAACTTAATTTTCAAATAAATTTTTTAACATTTTTATTTACTATTTTAAACATATGAAAGTTAAGGGGATAGTGTAATAAATCCCTCATTCAACTTTAATAATTTTCAACTCTAGTGACCTTTTTCAATTCTTTTCTAATATTACCTGTTTGCATCATTTGATACTGTTAATCTGTCACTTATTCTTGAAACTTTGTTTTGCCGGATAATATTTTACTATCCTGAGTTTCCTCCTGCACTGAGTATTTTTTTTTTTTTTCATAACTTCTGTCCCTATGTATAGATGTTTTCAGTGGGTTTTTATCATTAACCCTTTTATTCTACTTATTTCCCTGACCTCACTATTCACTTGGCAAACAATTCACAAGTCTTACTTCGAACTCTCTTCTCTTTCGAGTTGTGAATTTAAAGCTGCCTCTTAGACATTTAGACATCTTAAATTCTAATTATATATAGCATACATCTGCTTCTTCCACTTTCCCCATCCTAATTTACATATTCTTTTAATGGTGCCGCTACATCTTTTACACTTCCTCTCCTGGATTAGTAGAGTAACCCGCTCATTAGTATTTCTTCTCCTACGATTTCAGTTCATTCTGTGCCTTCCCACCTGATGTGTCTTGAAGTATAGCACCAGGCTTATACTTTGTTATTTAATAACCATTATAATTTATTTCTTACTATATTAACTTCTGATACGGTCTAGTTTATGAGACTTAATCCAGACACATAATTAAAGTATTTATATAAATTAAAATAATAAAGTTGTATCTGTGAGTGTTAGTGAATTATAGATTTTTAAAAAGATTTTCTTTATTTATTTAAGAGAGGGCACAAGCAGAGGGAGTGGGAGAAGCAGACTCTCCACTGAACAGGGTGCCCATTGTGGGGCTAGATCCCACGATGCGGAGATCATGACCTGAGCCGAAGGCAAACACTTAACTGACTGAGCCACCCAGGTGCCCATAGTAAATTAGATTTATCTACTTTTTTAACGTAAAAGTAAGGTATATCTAGTAGGTACCTGGTTTTCATTCATTTGAATTTTTAAAAAGACTTGATTTTCATTTGAGTGTTTTGAAGAGATCCTACCACCATAGTACATTGAATCCTGGTGTAATTTAGTAGAACATATCTTCGCTTTATATACTTTATTTCTACCAAAACCCACGTATTTGCTTTTGCCATATGTATATGTGTGTGTGTGTTTGTGTGTGTGTGTGTGTGTGTGTGTATACCTAACTGAAGTTCTAAAATCATATATATATGATCTTAGATTTAGATTTTATATGTATATATAATATATATATTTAGATTTAGATTGTATATATATGGTTTTATATATATGTAATCATATATAGATATATGATTTTAGAAATTCAGTTAGGAAAATGTGGCCTTTAAGCATTCCAGTTTATGGAATGTAAAGTAGTGACTTTAGTAATTTATATACCCACATTGGTATGAAATAGGTGCTGAACAAAATATCTAGTGGATTTGTCATGAGTTAAAATAAAAAGCTTCAAATTATATTTATTTTTAATGTTACAGCAAATAAAAATTTCGCTGATAACAAAAATGAATATACTGATTTTAAAAGCTATTTTCCTCATGCTTTTTAGGGTGAGAATCCTTTTGAAATTCAAGATCATTCTCAAGATCAACAAATAGAAGGAGATGAGGAAGAGGAAGAAAAGATTGATGAACCTATTGAAGAAGAGGAGGAAGAGGAGGAAGAAGAGGAGGAAGTGGGGGAAGTAGAGGAAGTAGAAGAAGCGGAGGAAGCAGAGGAAGTGGGAGAAGGAGGAGGAGTAGAGGGAGTGGGAGACACAGAGGAAGCAGGGGAAATAGAGGGTGTGGGGGAGGGAGAGGCAGTGGGGGAGGGAGAGGCAGTGGGGGAAGGAGAGGCAGTGGGGGAAGAAACAAAGGAAGAGCCTGTTGACTTCCCTGTTGACCAACCTGAAGAAAATTAAATATAAGGTATTAGTCAAATCTAAAAGAAGCTTTAAATTTCTCTCCTAATATGGAAAAGGGTAAGAATTTTAATAGTTTAAAATATGAGAATTAACACCCATGTCGCATGCATTCCACACATTCAGATTTGTTTTATATAATTTCTAAATGTTTGGCATTTGTTTAATAAGATGAAGGTAAGACTATTTTAGTTTAGTTTTTATAGCTATCAAACTTAGATTAGATAAATTGTATAATTTTTAAGCTTAATTTTTATTACTTTATTGGTGTTAAGGATAACAGATGTGTATTGTTAGTATATCTACTCTAATCATTTGAACTTAAATGCTGCTGTTGGGAGTATATATTCAAGTGTGCATTAATGTTTTGAATACTTACCCTAGAAGAGATAAATTGGGCAAGTATTTTGTGCTCTGTGTATTTTTTTACGGCATTGGACATTGAATAGTAATTTGCGTTAATATACGCTTAAAGGCTTTTTGTGACCATGTTTCCCTTTGTAGCAATAAAATGATTTTTACAAAAACACTTTCCCTGGATTAGCAATTTTAAATGAAACAATTCATCAATTAAATGAGTATTTAAAATGAGGTTTTTGCCTTAATGTAGGCATTTAGCTCATAGATACATCAAGATGACTGAGAAGAGTTGAATTAAATATTTACTTCAACCATTTTTTAAAAGTACTACTAAAATATTTTTTAACCTATTTCAAGTTGAGGTCAGTCTATAACTGACTTGTTTATACTTTTTTCAATTCCTTCCTTTTCTTTGTGCCTATGTCAGATCTTGAAATCTTGAAAATACATTTGTATACAAATAATTTTTTATAGTTGTGTTAGTTCTTTTGTCATGTCTGTTTTTAGCTGAAGAACCAAGAAGCAAACCATATCACTTTTCTAAAAAAGAAGTATTTCTCTCTTGAATGTTTTTTTTTTTAACTTTTTGTAATTTGTAGGCTTACATACTGAAAAAGAGAAGATGAGATCAACAGTCTATTTTCAATGAAGCATGACCATCTATGTCACTGAAAAGTAGTGCTCTTATTTCTTTGACTCTTCACTTCGGCCTCTTTTGAGAGGAGGACTCTCAGTGAAATAAATTAGTTCCTCCAAATTTTGAAGCATTGAATGGATGAGTATATGGGAATATTAAGTAATTCTAAAGCATTAAGTTCATGAATGTATAGGCATTTGTAGAATTTCACAGGTAATTTCTCTTTTTGCATACAACAAAGCTTTTAAAAATACATTTTGGGGGGCGCCTGGGTGGCTCAGTGGTTTAAAGCCTCTGCCTTCGGCTCTGGTCATGATCTCAGTGCCCTGGGATCAAGCCCCTCATCAGGCTCTCTGCTCAGCAGGGAGCCTGCTTCCTCCTCTCTCTGCCTGCCTCTCTGCCTGCTTGTGATCTCTGTCAAATGAATAAATAAAATCTTTAAAAAAAACATACATTTTGGGGGGCCAATATGGGCTCATGTTGTGGGCTAGATTTGCTTATCTTTAAGCTTTAAATCCTTTGTATTCACTTATAGGAATTTAGAGCCAAATAAGAGAAAGTTAGTTGAAGACTGGAGAAATTTGGATCCTAGCTAAGAGTCTGTATTTACTTAAATAGGATTTAGAAAGCCTTTGTGCTCAGGAGTTAAAATTTTAAGGATAATAGGACTTGATCGATGGTCTTGTTTCTTATTTATTTAGTTTCTCCTTTATTTAAAAATATTTGTGTAAGTGTAAGGTAAAAGGAGAACAGAACCCTTTGGATTATAATTAGTGGGTTCTTTTGGTACTAAGTAGGGTGTTTTTTTAAAAAAATATCCTTAGTAATTTGAAATTTGAAACTTTTGGAATGAATCCTGTAACAAAAATCTTTATAACAAAATTTCTAAGTAAACACTTTATTTATTTAATTTTTAGAAAGATTTTAAGTAATCTCTATACCTAGCACGGGGCTCGAACTCAAAATTGCCAGATCAAGAGTCTCACGCTTCACTGAGTAGGCCAGCGATGTGCCCCATAAATGTTTTAGAGTAAGAGATAAAGAACATCTAAGTGGTAATTTTTGTGGGAAACATGTAAAAACCTTTATTCAGATTAGCTCATTTGCAAGGTATTATTAATAAAGTGTATTTTGTTATTATACTTTAGAAGTTCAAATTTATATTATCCTATTAGGTAATTTATAGATAGGCAGTTTAATTTGCAGGCAGATTAATTTTTGTGGTCCTTAGAGTTTATATTTAAAGTACTTTCATGATAAGAATTTATATGATATCTTTAATAACCTTTCAACTTTTGTTATCCAAATATTGTTTATTAAAAATCTAAACGTGGGGACGCCGGGTGGCTCAGTTGGTTGAGCCTTTGGCTCAGGTCATGATCCCAGGGTCCTGGGATCAAGTTCCACATCGGGCTCCTTGCTTTGCAAGGAGCCTGCTTCTCTCTCAGCCTCTGCCTGCCACTCTGCCTGCTTGTGAGCACGCTTGCTCGCTCTCTCTACCCCCCCCCCCAAATAAATAAATAAATAAATAAAACCTTAAAAAAAAATCTAAATGTGTAGTTATAATAACCAAAGAAATTTATTTACAACTAGCACAGTTATTTAAGGCTGATGGCCTAGGGACCATCCTATATTCTTCCCTTTTTATCACCTCCCACCTCCAGTCTTTCAGAAAGTCTGTGTTTTCTTTTTTTTTTTTTAAAGATTTTATTTATTTATTTATTTGACAGAGATCACAAGTAGGCAGAGAGGCAGGCAGAGAGAGAGAGAGGAGGAAGCAGGCTCCCTGCTAAGCAGAGAGCCCAACTCGGGGCTGGATCCCAGGACTCTGGGATCATGACCTGTGCTGAAGGCAGAGGCTTTAACCCACTGAGCCACACAGGCACCCAAGTCTGTGTTTTCTACTTCCAAAATTTATCTGTCCCTCTTCCACATCTGTTGCTACCAATCCCAGTTCATGTCCCCATCAGCTCTTTCCTGGACTATTAAAGTAGTTTATTGACTAATCTTGTTTCTAGTTTTGCCCTGCTAGATTCAGTTTTCCACACAAAAGTATAATCTTCTAAAAATATAATTAAGATAGTACTAGTTACCTGCTTCTTTTAGTATCTGTACACTTACTCAAGGTAATCAGGCCTGGCCTAGCATTTCTGCTTTATATCATGCTGTTCTCACCGGCTATGGTGGCCTTCTGTTAGTTTTTAAATGAAGCTCTTCCCTAAATCCAGACCTTTGTACTTTCTGTAATCTATTCCTCTCAGCTTTTTTGGAGTCTTTCTCCTTTAGGTCACCTTAAATGTTAAGACGAGGCTTTTCTAAGGAAACATGAAGGCAGTAATTCTTAAAATTTTGTAAAAGTAAGGATTTGGGGTACCCATACCCCAGATTTACTAGACCATATTCTTTGGAAATGATGTATTTTAATAGATACCCAAGTGATTCTGATGGTAATGGTCAGTGACTGCATTTCAAGAACACTTATAGCAGCCTCAGATTTCTAGTGCCTGCAAGTCCTGTATTAAAGCAGGAGCTTCTGCTCTTCAGTCAACAGGCACAGGTTTGGGGAATTTCCATAATGTTTTAACAAAGCATCGGAATGACTTGTTACAAATTTCTGGGAGTCAGAAAACTGGACCTTGTTCTTGTTTTTGTTCTTTTTCTCCCATTAGGTTATGTAATTCTTACAAGTTGAAGTTCTAATAATAGATCTAACAGTTTTCCCATAAAACAAGCTCTCATATTATTCCCCTACTTTAAATCCTTTATTGGCTTTTTATACATGTTAGTGAAACATTCAGATTCTTGTGATACGGCCTCTGTGGTTCTGTATGTTCTGTTCCTTGCCTGCTTCTCCAGCTTTGTATCTCAGTCTTTAACAATTTATATTAACTGCCTATACCTGTAAACATTTGAATAAATAACATGCTTCAGGAGGCAGAATGGTTCCTAGAGTTGCCAAGATTTAACTATAATCAATATTACAAAATCTAGATATTATATTTTATATTACTATACTAAATATACCAAATTACTATACTAAAATATACTAAAATATATTTTATAATATAATATTTTATAATGGTATCATATTATGTAACATCTAAAAAACCATTAATCCTTTCTAAGAATGAGGTGAAAATAACAATATTTGCAGCAGTTTGTATACCAAAAGTCATGAACATGTAGAAAGAAAGAACTATAAGAGCAAATGTTGGTAATGCATGCTAAAATGTGTTTGAGAATTCTTTTATTGGCAAGATTGTTCTTACTTAGAAGTAGTTGGTATCAGATTATCTTATCAGACTTACATTATTTGACATTTGCTTTGACTACCAAGTTGTCCTTGCTGTGAATACAAACTTTATGTATATGTAAAATACACATAGCATAAAATTTACCACTTTTACCATTTTGAGCATACATTTCAGAAGCATTGATGACAAACTTTTGATTACAATTTGGAATCCATGGTGTTCTGCTGATGGACAGAAAATGGAGTAGTCATGCAGGCAGAAGTGTTTTAGTCTATGTGACAGTTACAGTATGAATTTTAAATTAGCAGTGTGACTTTATTCGATATTTCCTACCGAGCTGGCTGGTTCTCTGTTAATGCAGACAAAATCAGGGAGCCTGCAAGCTTAGGGATAGACCCTTGGATGTGGTGAATTCAGTCCCTGCTGCCACCAATTTGGCCTCCTTGGAAGCAGTTATGCTAGTTTCTTTCTGCATTTCCCTTCCCCTTCTCCTGATTTCCTAGTTTGTGTTTAAAAATTTTTTTAAAGACTATGTTTGAGGTAGGGTTTATAAGAGATGGCCTTCTTGGAGACCGAGAATGTAGAAGGGAACAACTGTAAGCAGCTTAGTTATTAGATGAATAGACATTATGAATCTGGGGAGAGGTCGAGATCAAGATGACATACTGTATTAAAGACATCTTATGAAGTTCTATTAAAGTTACAGAAAGTATACAATGATAAACAGTTTCAGTAATAAAAATAAATTCATAACTACACTGGTTGCTGTGAAGCATTGCTAGAGGACAGAAAACAGAGAACCAGATCTTAGTGAAACAGAGAGGCACAGTCCACATAGAGAGAAAATTAAGGAAGTGCCTCCATTTTATTTTTATTTATTTATTTAGTATTTATTTGAGAGCGAGACCAGAGTGGGGGAGAGCAAAGGGAGAGGGAGAGAGGGAACTTGGGCATGGAGCCTGACGCGGGGCCGGGATCTTAAAACCCTGAGATCATGACCAGAGCCTAAATCAAGATGTGGACGCTTAAACAAATGAGCCACCCAGTGCCCGCACCTCCATTTTTATTTTAATTAATTTTTTTTTAAAGATTTTATTTATTTACTTGACAGAGATCACAAATAGGCAGAGAGGCAGGCAGAGAGAGAGGGGGAAGCA